TAAAAAAAAGCAACGTCTCCTTCACACATCTCACTGTTATCCCTGTAAATGAAGCCTCCAGGATATCATGACAAAAATTTAGTGGAATAACTGGGATGTCACCTAGAAGAGAAAAAGACAGTTGGGGTGGGGGGGAAGGACATGGAAATTACAACAAGGACATATCATATACACTTACATATAATCATCTGATTCTCAATACTTGAAAATAAAATTGTCACTATGAAGCCTTTAGTTGTACCCAATGTAACATTATTCCTACAACTAACAACTGGTTATTAATAGATATTAATCAGTACAATTTCCCTAAAAATGTAGTGTGTGTGTGTGTGTGTGTGTTTTTGCTCAAAATGAAAACAATTAGCTTTTTAAATAATACTCTAGACACAATTTAGATTTCCTCTTAGAGACATAGTAATAAATGCTTCTCTTCATCAGACAGTTTCTGAATTTTTCAGCTCCCTTATCTTTTAGAACATGCTGCAGCAATATTTCTCTCTCCTCCAGTTATGATATAATTTTTTAATGATTGTAAATATCTACAAACATGAAGCATTTTGAAAGATAGTCATCTTCACTAGAAGTTACCTTTCAAATGATATTGGGTCTTATCAGAGGATAACTTGAAGAAAGCTTTTCCTCTCTAATGAGTCCCACAAATGACATTGCAAAGGAATATGACTATACCTAGCTGGAAGGAAGAGCAGGGTCCTTTCAACTAGAACAGATATAGAGTTATGCAAGGTCCACAAGTCAGAGAAGAGGTAAATAGCAATGATCAACATGATAAACAAAAAAGGTCCACTGATAAAGGAACGGGATAAAGAGATGACATTAGCTCTGGCCAGTGTGGCTCAGTTGGTTGAGTGTTGTCCTGTGTACCGAAAGGTCACTGACCAGTTCAATTCTTGGTCAGGGCACATGTCCAGGTTTTGGGCTCAATAGTTGGTTGGAGTGCATGCATAGGAGGCAGCCAATCAATGTTTCTCTCTCACATCCATGTTTCTCTCTCTCCTCTCCCTTCCCCTCTCTCTAAAATCAATTAGAAAAACATATTTTAAAAAGATGACGACATTCTAAACAATCATTCAGCAAGCATTATCCCCATACTGCTAGATAATGATTAACAAGCTTCCCTAGCCCGGCCAGCGTGGCTCAGTGGTTGAGCGTCAACCTATGGACCAGGAGGTCATGATTCGATTCCCAGTCAGGGCACATGCCCAGGTTGTGGGCTCAATTCCCAGTAGGGAGCATGCAGGAGGCAGCCCATTGATGTTTCACGCTCATCAGTGATGTTTCTATCTTTCTCTCCCTTTCCCTTCCTCTCTGAAATCAATAAAAATATATTAGTTTTTAAAAGTTTCCCTATATTAGCCCACTGTCTCCTGCACAATGTAATGGTAATTCTATACCATCTCCCGCCATTTCATTTTTAAAAATAAATATCTTAAAAGAGGAAGCTATATTGCCTGCCTCTAGATTCCCCCCTCCCATTTACCCAGTGCCTCTCTGCAATCAGTCCTCTGGTGGACTTGTCTCAGTAAGAGCACTATCATCTCATGATGAACAAGCCAATGGATACACTGCAGATCTTATT